TGAGTACACCTCTCACAGATCTCCCTTATATTCTATGATGATGTGAAAGAGGATGCTGTGCCATTGAATGAGTTTGATTATTTATAAACCAAGCAAAACCAAGACTTTTTTTTACAAACTGGCTCTTCTCTCAGAGAGTGTCAGTTTACAGTAGAGGGCCATTTTAGAACATATAGCACATATTATTTAAGTATTTTCAAGATAAACAGAATGTATAAGTGCAATATATATTAAAAAAATATGTATATATTTGCACTCTTTCAACATAAATAAATTTAGCATTGCACAACAAGAATTGTGATTTAACTTTTCAACTATGAAAACAAGTTTTACAAAGATATATTTTGCCACTGATTATTCAAAACTTAAGGTTGTGAACTAGCAGTGTTATCCTGCGTTGAAACATTACTGTCACTGTAAACAACAGGCTAATAAAAATATAACAAACCAGCAATCTTCTTGCTGTGAGGTGGTCAAACTACCCACTGTGCCACCGTGACACCCAATTATTTTTATCATTATTATTATTAATATTATTATTATTATTATAATTAAATAAAAATTAACAGGAGGAGGTGTTTAAATCCTTCGTTCTCCGTGACACTAGGCTGAATATCTTTGCAGATGAACAATGCAATAGCATTCGTTATTGGCGTAGAGCGAGCAGAACTGTTGCGCATGGAAAAAAAACTTGCAATGCTTTTCTCACCACTTTTGGAACTGGTTGAAGCAGTGCGAAAGCCGGGGATGCTGAAACACTGGAAGATGCTTTCACAACAACACCGTGGCGCCGCTTCAAGTGAGATATCAGATTAGTCGTACTGCCCGCGTATTTTACAGATGCGCGGCACATTTTGCAAATTGCATCTGTCCTGTCATGTCGTCCATCCTTAAATCCATAATGTTGCTTGCCATACTTTAGATTTAAAACTCAATGGGGAATATGTTTGTTTTGCTTCTCGCGCTTTCTGAGGGCGCACCACTAGCTTCATCCGCACACCTGATACACTGAGTTGTAGTGAAAGTGTACATATCCGCAAATCCGTTGCTAAGGCTTACTTTATGTAGGTCGATTAAATTATGCGCCAAAAACAGGTTGACAACACTTGTTAATAAATAAAAAATACATTCTATATTAAAAATATAAGCTGTATCTCGGAAAAATCGATGCATCTCGCAAAAACCGATGCATCTCGATTTGCTTCCAAAATTTCATTCATCCTCTGCTGCTCAACCGATGCACTCGCATCGTGCACGCGCATGACCGCGTATCGATACATATCGGTTAATCTTCCCATCCCTAATATATATATATATATATATATATATATATATATATATATATATATATATATATATATATTTATATATAAAACACCATTTTTGAATTTTAAATGTAATATCTTTCTATTACTAAAGATATTTGGTGACCAAACTCTTATTTTAATATATGTTTAGGTAGATTACACTGTTTATTTGTGCTTCACAAAAGTCGACATTTATAATGCTTTTTAGTGGCTGACATTATCAGTAGATACTAGGGTTGGGTGATGTCGACCAATTTGGCCTATAATGATGTCTAATGTGAAACATTGCGATGGACGATGGCGTTGTCGTCATAGGTGGAGGTAAATTAACTATTTATGAATAATTAATTCACACTGAATTAATTATTTGTAGCCTACTGTTTCAACTACCTGACCTACATGGTCTTTGTTTTACCCATAACCAAACCATGAATAAATAACAATAAGTTGCACACAAATTACCACCTGTCAATCACTTTTTCAGCGGGACTCTGGCATAAATGGGCAGAGTGATCTGTGCCGTTATAATGGCATCGCCAAACTTGATAGGTAAAAATGGTGCAAGACCAACAGCAACCAACCAACAGTATCTGAGGTTTTCACCAAAAATACCAAGTACAAGGGTGAAAGCGAAAGATTGAAGCAGTATGCTGACAGTGTGACACGTTACCTGATAGATTTCGGTCACGGTTGGAGGGCTGTCCAGAAATGCAAGGTAAAACAAGTTATGGATATGGATAATTTTTGTTCTAAAATGCCATTTTAAAACTGAGACCTATTAGTGTAAACGGGGCCTAAAGGCTGATTTATAGTTCTGCGTCAAGAGCACACGTATGCTACGGCGCAGTGGACGCATAGCCCTTGCCTTGGCCTTTGGCGTCGCGTACATCTCAAAAAATGTACCTACACGTTGCAATGACGCGTATCGCAAGCTCTGTGATTAGTCGGCTTGGTGGCGCTGACGAGTGTGGGCGGGACTGAGAGCCATGGAGCGATTTATTTATTTATTTTTACAAGTGTGGAGTCCCGTGAAGGAGCTCTAGATGAAAAGTTTTGTTTTGTGTTTACCTCATGGTTAAATTTGTTGCACATCCGCTGGTTCCTGCCTCAAAATGAGCGAGTTTGTGCCACTTGTAGATTAAAGAAGCATTCAGAAAAAACAAAACACCAGCGAAGAAACTCTAAACTCAGAGGAACATTAACACCTCACTGCCAACTAGCGTTTTGGAAGTGTCATTGTAGAACAACAGAAATAGCGAAGTATGAATGCACAGCTACGCGCATTGTATGTGCCATGGGTTACGCTGTTCACTTGACTCAGAAGTATAAGCCAGGCTTTAGTGTGTATTTTTCGCGAGCGGGTTTGCGATGGGGGTGGGTCGGAGGATCGGCGATGCCGGCTCAGCATTGTGTTGTTTATCGGCCCAGCCCTAGTAGATACTCCGCAAAAGCTCTAATAGCAGACAGCTGCTTCTCACTCAGGGCTGTCTATGCTAATAAGGGAGAGAGATCGTAACTAATGGGTGGGGCTTTCCCCCGCTTATGACATGTACAAAGGGAGAATGTCAATCAAAAGTCTTGAAAAATCAGGAGAAACAAATAAAATAAAATTATATATATATAAATATATATATATATATATATATATATATATATATATATATATATATATATATATATAATTGTAGTTTTTATTTTGTGACACCATTTTTTATTTTAAATGTAATATCTTTCTATTTCTAAAGATATCAGGTGACCAAACTTTTATTTTAATAAATATTTATGTTTAATGAAACTGTTTTGGTTAAATTCACCCAAATATATTGTCTATATTTGCTGCAAAATAGATTAAAAATATACATTTTCAAAATGTGTGTACTCATTTATACTTTGGACTGTACATAATATGAAGAGTTCAGTTTCAAAAACCAAAGTGCCATCTGAAATATTCTTCTACAATGAGCATTTTTTTTCCGTCTCCCATGTTTATGTTCAGTTATTTCACGTTAAAGGCTGTGAAAAGAGCCTATTCTTTGCTATAGAAGTAAAATTACTCAAAAAATCTAAGATATCACTTAGAATTGTGTGCGTCTAAACATTCATATATTCATATATATATAAATAATATATATTAATTAACACGTTTAGGCAATTCAACATGTAGAGGACTTTTTCTGTAGTTGAAATTTTAGCTGAAACTCTGAGTTATAGCTGTCCTATCTAATAAAGATAAAAAAAACCTTAAAAAAAATTATAAAAAAAAAAAAAAACATTATTTAAGCATGATCGCCTCACAGCAAGAATGTCGCTGGTCCAAGTCTCGGCTGCGTCAGTTGGCATTTCTGTGTGGAGTTTGCATGTTTTCCCTGTGATGGCGTGGGTTACCTTCGGGTGCTCCGGTTTCCCCCACAGTCTAAAAACATGCGTTATAGGTGAATTGGGTAAACGAAATTGTCCGTAGTGCATGAGTGTGTGTGGATGTTTCCCAGTGATGGGTTGCAGTTGGAAGGGCATCCGCTGCATAAAAACATATACTGGTTAAGTTGGCGGTTCATTCTACTGTGGCGACCCCAGATTAATAAAGGGACTAAGCCAAAGGAAAATTAATGACGGCATTTATGTTATAATGTTTATGTAATGTTTATATAATATTAAACTTATTTTTTATTCAAAACTTCTATGAATATAATGCAATTACAATACAATTAAATATAACTTTTTGATGGAATTAGATGAGACTCAAAATTAGAAATGTTAACTTAGTTTTAGGTAAAAATGACAAAAAAATAAATAAAACTGGAATAAAAATAAGGTGATAAATATGATGCAATCAATAAAAAACATTAATCAGGGAATATAATATTCAGGCACAACAAAATTAAATGATGTCTTCGGTGGGGTAAATCGCCAAGAAACTGAAAGAAATCATTTTAAACTGAGTCAAATTTCTACCTCTCAATACTCAGTGTATGATTTTTGTTGTTTATGAAAGTTGTTTTGATGCGTGAATTGAAATGAATCAAGTATGTCAATTACTTTGTAAACAAATATCCAAAGAATGAGTCTCAAACAATGAGCCGATTCAGACATCTTGTGGACAAATGAGGTAGTGCAACAAAAAAAAAACTATTTAAATAGTGTGAATTAAACAGGTGAGTGTTAGCAAGTGTGAAGTAAACATGATTAATCATATTAGAAATCATACTTATTTTACTTATGGGTCACTGATGCAAAATATCACGCATTTAAATGGAAACTTATTCAAAGGTACAACTTAAAACACAAAAAACAGCAGGAAATACCCTTATCAAATATCAGTATTTTAGGATATTACACACAGATGTTTGCAATTTTGCGTCCTCCTTATTTTTATTTTGTACTTTGTTAGTTTACGTATCTACTAAAAGTTGCGAGCTTCATTTAGATGGTAAACTTTAAAGGGTTTAGGCAACTTAATCTACAAATAGTCCCTGTATTTCTAGAATAGCAGTGTCAATGCAAACTCTTTTCTCTTTTCCTGCTGTTTTTACTTAGTTTTTGTTATATTTGTCAGAGGGAAGTATCAGTATCATAACTTGAGACTCATTAGTGTGCATTTCTGACAGCGGGAGATGTTGGAGCTGATTCATGAGGCTGTGTTTTTCTATAACTCGTGTCTGTGTCATTTGTTTGTTCTTCACCTTGTGTTTCCAGGGTCAAGGAATGTTGCCTTATTTTGCTAACTTCCGTCTGCTTGCAGAGTTTTCCACACCCTGTGTTAACCAACGGTAGGTGTTTTGTTGACCGTTGAGTTATCTTTCAGGCTCGCCATGTAGTCTTGATTTCATTAATAACAACATGACATGTGGATTGATTATATTAGCTTTCACAGTAAATGTTCTATGCCTTTTTGTGGACAAAAAATAAGATGTTTATTTAATATTTATATGGGATGATTACATTTTTGCTGACCAAATGGGTGGCAAAATAAGCAATAATTCCATGGCAGTGAAGTGTTGCAAGTGTTTTTTTGTGTTCAATTGAGTGAATTATTATTATTTTTTTATTTAATCTATTTTGTAGTTTTGTTATATTTGTTAGTATTTTCTATTAGTATTTTTCTATTAGTTTTTTTTTTTTTTAGTATTTTTAGTATTTTGTATTGTGAAATGCTGTTTTTTTTAAAGTTTATTTTTATCATTTTATTATGAAAGGTTTATTTACAATCCCCGTTAAAACTTGGGGGTCAGTTTTTTTCAAGGTTTATTTATTTTTTTTATTAAATGTAAATATTTATTACAATTTTAAATAACTGATTTCTTATTGTATATAGTTTCGAATTAAATTATTACTCCAATCATTATTGCTTTTATTACCATTACCATAATTAATAATAATAATCATGTTAGAGTGATTTCTGAAGGATCACGAAGACTGGAGTAATGAAGCTGAAAATTCATCTTTAAAAACACTGGAATAAATTATTAAATTAAATTATAAACTACTTTTTTTAACTGTTTTTTTTATAGTGGAATAACATTTTACAATTTTACAATTTGTACCGTATTTTTGATTAATTAAATGTAGCCTTGGTGAGCAGGAGAAGCTATTTTTATTTTTATTTATTATTATTTTTTACTTATTTTAACATGAACTCCGAATAAACAGTATTGACATTCTCAGTAAATATTCACTCCTTTTTTTGTGCACAAAAATATATTTCTATTTATTATTTGTGTTGGACCGTTTTGCTGACCAAATGGGTGGCGAAAAATAATAAGCAATAATTTCATGGCAGTGGAAACTTACAATTTTTTTTTTATTGATTTAATTAATAGTTTGTCAGTTTTGTTGTTTTGTAATTTGTATTAGTATTTTTAAAAGGCTTTATTTATGAATAGATTAAATTATTTTTCTTTTATTTCCTTTTATATAAAAAAATTATAAATAAAAAGTGTTATGTACAGTTAAAGTCAGATTTATTCTGGAGAAAGTCTGGTTAGTTTCATTTTGGCTAGAATAAAAGCTGTTTTAATTTTTTTGAAAACAATTTCAAGGTCAAAATGATCAGCCCCTTAAGCAATATTTCTTTATGATTGTCTTCAGAACAAACCATCATTGTAGAATGACTTGCCTAATTACCCTAGTTAAGCCTTCAAATGTCGTTTTAAGCTGAATACTAGTATCTTGAAAAAAATCTAGTCAAATATTATTTACTGTCATCATGCAAAGATAAAATAAATCAGTTAAATACAAATGAGTTATTAAAACTATTATGTTTAGAAATGTGTTGAAAAATTTTTTTTTCTGTTAAACAGAAAATAAATATACAGGGTCTAATAATTCTGACTTCAACTGTAAATGTAGTAAAAATGGGTTTATTCTAGATGCCTTTCTAATGCTGTCTTTAGGAAGTTATCCACATATTGACAGCATGTCACTTTGCTCACCTGTGTTTTCCAGCTGGTTCTTTGAAGTATTAGGTTACCCCAAATCCTCCAGGCCCAACATGGCTAACGGTGTGCTGATGGCGGCGGTGTTTTTCCTGGTGCGCATCGCCGTCATGCCCGTTTACTACAGCCGGATGTGCTCCGTGTATGGCACCGAAGCCTTCTACAGGGTTTCGTTTGGCGGCCGGAGCGCTTGGATATTCTCTAGCATCTGCCTGGACATCATGAACGTCATGTGGATGCATAAAATCTTTCGCGGCTGCTATAAAGTCTTGCAATCCAGCCGGAAATCCAAAGCTGAGAGCCAAGAGAACGGAAAAACAGATTGAGCTGGGGGGAGAAGTGTGAATTTTCACTTTTTACACGACTTGCTCACTGACTGGGTTGTTGTGTTATTTAGAAATGAACAACCCAAGGACACTATGAAGTAGTGACCGGAGATTAAAAACAAACAAACAAACAAAAAAAAAAACACCCCCCAGAGCAATATTTCACAGGTGAAACTTTAAGACATCTTATATGCTTGGATAGACTTTTATTTTGTAATTTTTTCGGGGGGAAAACTGCACCAGAAGTGCTAACAGTGCACTGTACGCATCCACCGGCTGAACTGTATTTTAACTCTTGAATTTTTAAATGCATGAAGCTGGTTTTAATTAAACTGTGGGCTGGTAAACCACGTTATTTATTCGTCGGGAAAAAAGTTAAATCCGTCGCTCTCAATCACTGTACTATGTGCCAATGGTCAGCAAGATGTTAACGTTTACCTAAATGCCGCATTTATTGACTGTGAAAGATTCATCCACACAACTGCGCTGCACTACAAATGAAGAAAATCTGCCATTCGGATCATTCTACTGAAGACGGAAGATCAACGTCATGCTGTATTCGTGACTTTTTAATGAAGGAAATGCAACCCAGGCTCATTCTGAAAACGTAGCCCTGTATACATTTCTGGAGAGTGCAAAATGCGTCCCAGAACGTACATTTTTTTGTTGTTGCCGTTTTTGTTTTCGCTAATCCACCAGAGGCCGCTGTGTACGCTTTTTGAGATCTCAAATTTCTCTCGTCAGTGCCACTTGTGAATTCGTAAATCCACCAGAGGCCACTGACGACTGTCTGACCAATCAACCGATCAATAGCCCCACCCTCCCCCTTCCTAAACCCAACCGATAGTGTTTTAAAAAGCACTGATTGACCAGCGCACAACCACTTCCTTAGACCCTACCGACTTATTTTAATTTTTATCTTTTGTTTTTGTCTTATCCGCTTTCTGGAACTGTTATTCGCCGGACTAGAACCCTATCGTAGCAGTCAACTTCTCTGCGTTTCATGTTCGCCGACGTACGCGGTTACAGTGGTAAAGTTGTCCACACGGCGTCATACTGCCCTCTATCGTTCATTTTCAAGACGAAATGCAGCTCTAGCTACGTAATTCGCAATCTCCAGAATATTATACAGGGCTACGTTTTCAGAATTAGCCTATGTTGAGGAAATGATGAAACCTGTGGGTTAAATCGCCAAAATATTTTTTTATACAAGCATTGAACTGTACTTGTTAATGAACCGGTTTACACTCGCTCCAGATTCACTTCGGATTTATTCCCTTTCACACAAATGCTTTGTTCGCACTGTACAGTTAATTGCATGCGGCGATGTTGTTCTCTGAATGTTTGCATTGTACATAGAGATTTTATTGAACATACGATGGCTATTTTAATGAACGTTTGTGTACAGTGTATCCAATCAGTACCGAACTTAAATTATCGGGACTATTTTGACAAATGGAATCGCAAGAGCTTGGGTTGGCTTATTTGAGCTTATTTGAATGTCGAAAAACTCTTTTCCTTGCATCGCACCTAATTTATTAATCCAGTTTCACACTGGGACAGCATGGTAATGTTTGTACGACATATTTATTATTTTTTAACGGAAAGATATACACGTCGTCGATGTATCAGAGTAGATATCTATACAGCATACGAGAGAATTTCACAACGCAGAGATGCTTTTATAAATTCATTGTCACCATGTATAGTCTAGAATATTCGCACACGCATTCGGATGTGAGAGCGCATGACGAGTTTTATTGTTTTGTTTTGTGTGGAAACGATTTTCTGTTTTTAACAAACTTAAGTACTTGAATTTTGAGACCTATAAAAGGGAATGCCTGTCATTGGGACGAGTTATACAGGAATACTTGTGAGTTTATGTTTTGCCTTTGCATCCAGTCACTCAAAATGCCTTTTTTTGGTTAAATAAACATACTTTATTTGATTTCTTCAGCGTCTTTTTGTACCACTCGGTTTTGAAAAAACTAGCATATGCTGCTGGTAAGGTCTGTTTTGATGCTGGTCTTTCTGGTTTCAATGCTGGTTTTGATGGTTTTAATGGTGGTCTTGCTGGTTTGAATGCTGGTTTTGATGCTGGTTTCAATGCTGGTTTTGCTGGTGTTAATGGTGGTCTTGCTGGTTTTGATGCTGGTTTCAATGCTGGTTTCTGATGGTTTTGCTGGTTTCAGTCCACCAGAGACCACTGCCGACCGATCACCCCACCCATTCCTTTCATAAACCCAACCAAAGGTGTTTTCGAAAGCACCGATTGACCAGTGCTCAACCACTTCCCATAACCCAACCAATAGTGTTTTCAAAAGCAATCCAGAAAAAGAAAAGCCCTTGCAGCTACCTAATTTTTACCACATTTTCACCCTGGTATTTACTTGTTTATTTTAATTTTTTGTTTTTGTCTTATCTGCTTTCTGGAACTGTTATTCGCTGGACTAGAACCCTATCGTCAATTTCTCTGCGTTTCATGTTCGACGACGTACGCGGTGAGCCACTGGACAAACTGGTAACAGTGGGAAAGCAGTCCATACGGAGTGAAGCGGTCAGCTGCTAGCGTGAAAAGGAACGGCATCATACCGTCTTGTAGTTTTCGTTTTATTGCTGCTTTCAATGCTGGTCTTGCCAGGTTATTGAGACCAACACGAAAACCAGCGAGACAAGCAAAACCAGTTCTGAAATCAGCAAAAACAGCATTGAAACCAGCAAGACCAGCATTGAAAGAAGCAAAACCAGCATTGAAAGAAGCAAAACCAGCTTTGAGACCAGTATTGAAACCAGCAAGACCAGCATTAAATCCAGCAACACCACAATTGAAACCAGCAAAACAAGCATTGAAACCAGCAAAAATAGCTCTGAATCCAGAAAAAAACAGCATTGAAACCAGCAAGACCAGCATCAAAACATACCATTATCAAAACATTATCAGCATTTGCTGTTTTTTTTATTATTATTATTTGCAGGGTGTTTAGTCGTGTGACTGTTTTCTCTGTTTTTTCTTGTTAACGTTGTAACCAAAGGTCAGAATTATCAGTATAATAAGGAAAATCCTTGCAAAATCCATCCTTACTAAAATTCACCATGATTTATTATAGTAAAGGTGTGGTGCCCTGCTGAAAAAAAAAGCATATGCTGGTAAGGGTTTCTTGGTCTCAATGCTGGATTTGCTGGTCTTGATGCTGGTCTTGCTGGTTCCAATGCTGGTTTTGCTGGTCTCGATGCTGGTCTTGCTGGTTCCAATGCTGGTTTTGCTGGTCTCGATGCTGGTCTTGCTGGTTTCAATGTTGGTTTTGCTGGTTTCAATATTGGTCTCAATGCTGGTTTTGCTGGACCAGTATTAAGACCAGCACTGAAACAATCAAGACCATCTAAACCAGCAATGAAACCAGCAAAACCAGCATTGAAACCAGCAAGACCAGCATCAAAACATACCTTACCAGCATTTGCTGTTTTTTTTCAGTTGGGTGTTTAGTCATGTATGACTAGTTTGTGTTTGTTAAAGTTACAACCAAAGGTCAGAATCATCAGTATGATAATGAAAATCCTTGCAAAACCCACTCTTACAAAAATTCAGCATGATTTACTATAGTAAAAGTGTGGTAGCCGTGTTTATTTTAAGGTTGTATACAAATACAATGGAAAAATTATGGTTAGTTGGTCTTGGAGAGCTGGTGTCCTGCAAAGTTTAGCTCCAACCCCAATTAGACACACCTGGGCTAACTAATCAAGCTCATAATACGCTTTCTGTGCAGGTTTGTACCTATAATTTGCAGGAAACTGGACCTCCGGTAAAAACCATTGTGAATTTGTGGTTACCATCATTATAGTTGTAGTTACCGTAGTTTAAAATGACCATTTGGTTGAATTTGTAGTAAAATCATGGTTAATTTTCAGAAGAACAGACAGTAAATGGAAGCAAGCGAAGGACAAATAAGGGATAGTTTATTAGTTATTAAAACCTCTTGCACGTCATTTCCGAGGCTGATTTCTACATTTGGAATAGATTTTTTTACTTATTAATAAATTAAAGAAAGAAAAATATTTCTATACACAATGACCAAACCTTCAGCGTTCAGCAGCGTTGATGTTTGATTTATGGGATGTGTGAAATGCAACAGTATCTCTTATGTTTTTATGTTTCCACACGCTGTCACGGGAGTTGTTGTTTTATAAGGTTTACATTTGTTACGGTGGCGGCAGGGATCTTGTTTTTGAGTGAAAGAAAGTAAGTGCATGTACTCGAGCGACACGACAGTTTTGAACATGGGTAATCTTTCACGTGTCTTACTTTTTTCACTTGCATTATGCCATTTGCCTCAATAAAGCAATATGTTCATTTTGATCTATGATTGTGTCATGTGTCGATTCTTTTTCAGGTAAAACCTTTGTAGTGGTTCATTTCAGTCTCTCATCAAAATAAATTTACTTAATTCTTAATTCCAATAACTTTATTAATAAATGATCATTAAAAATGTTAATGAATTAAGTTAATTTACTTATTATTATTATTATTAATAATATTTTATACAAATATTGCATTTAAAGGTGCAGTATAGAAGTTTGACACCCAGTGGATGAAATAGGTATTGCATTACTGAATCAAAAACACAAGCACAGGTTGCCAAAATTGATGACTAACAGTGTTGCCAACTATTTTCAATGAAAAGTAGCTAAATGTTGCCACTAATTTGCATATCATTCACGTCATCATGCAGTATCTTCCGTCATATATCTACTCTGAGGTATGGAAGGCCGTATTATATTATACTAAAACATTACATCCAGATGCTCAGTAATAGGTTCTTGTTAACATATTTGTGTGATGATGTCATTACGTTATCGCAACTCAAAACGACATCTTTTTACATTATTTGAAACATGTCCATTTAGATTTGTATGAAAAATAAAGTTGACTATTTGTAAAAGTAACACACACTTTTTGATAAGAATTTTTTATTTTTAAATACAACACTGATAATGAATATTTACATTCCTTTAAACAATCACAGCTTGTGTACTTACTCTTTTTAACTTGTGAAAATAACACATTTGTGAAAATGACAATTATAGCACGATTGGAATTAACTGCTAACTAAATATATCAGTAAGTTAACAGTTATGAAAATAATCTGAGCTAGCAATTTACTCTACTGAGTGAAGCCTGCAGCCACTGCGCTTTTGAGTCACTTTTTAAATTTCTAAAAGGCGCCCATAGATATATACACTAGATTTCGCATAGAGACCATGAGCATGCGTCAATAGTACATACTGCATTCACCATTAGTAGCACCACTCGCACTAAATACTCGGCTTATGCTAGTTTTGTTGAATAAAATCAGCAAGCAATGCTAAAGATATGACAACGAGATGCTGCGCTGCCAGAAACTTGTATTATTGTCGGCTAGTGAACGAGTCGTTTATAACGGAGATTCATTCACAAACGAGTCGCTGATCCGTCTGTATGTGAAGTGAAAGCAGGAGGTGGTTTCAGGACATGATTAGATCAAATTTAACAGGGAGGGTGAATAGTACATTTCCGGACACACAAACACAAGCTTTTTGACAGGAATGCCAATGCGATCACTTATCTATCAATGTAGAAAAGTGATGTAAAATTATAATTTTCGTAATTAAAAAAATTATAATTACATACTAACATCCAGGAAAACTCCCGATCATAGATATATGTGTTCATCTCTGGCTTTGGATGGCTACAGTCCTCCACTGTACCTTGGTCCCGCATTCATTTCAAAGGAGCGCTACCCTGTTCCAAAATGGCGGCTCTATTGACGCATTCCTTCCAAAAGACAACAACAGGGTAGACGACATCTAATGTGTATATCTAGGCGCCAAGTGAATGTTAAAAATTGCTAAAATTGTTGCTGGGTGCTTTTTGAACTTTTGAAAAACAAACAAAAAACGTTGCTGGGGTAGTATGAAAAGTTGCAAAATTAGCGACAAAATTGCTAATTTGGCAAGACTGAGCACAAGCAGCCAGCAACGCTTTCTCAACATTGTTAATATTCATAAGCTGCGTCATTATTTGGTCCTGCCCCTCACGCGGTGCATGCTGGATGAAGCGGAAGTAGCGGTGCACGTTGACATTGCGCATCGTCCTATGATCACATAAGAGACAGCGAAAGGTGAGTTTGTCTTTTTTTTGTCAATATTCAGTCATAAATAAAGTTTATGAACTTTTACAAAAAGCTGGATTCGTTTTGAAGTAGTTGTTTGTTAAGTAACATGCTGGTTGGTGTTAAGTGTATGTGTAAATGACTGTATTGGAAGGCTGTTCTGTACATGTGTGACTGTTATTAACGTTACTTCAAAACAATAAGAATTAATGGTGACCAGCAACGACTAAAACGACCATAAAAAAGGTCACGTTTGTCTATATGAAAGCTCAGTGTTATGATGTGTTAGATCTTTTTCACTTGATAAAAATCTGTTATAAAACTATCTCGCTTGTGATTTGTCAAATTACTGTCTGAAAGATGATTATATTGAAAAATTGAAGATGAAACATCCTATTTTGGCCTCAGAACAATTCGACAGAAATAATTTTGTACGTATAAAAAGGCTGTTAGTTGAAGCTGGGCATCCGCTGCATAATTGTATATGCTGGATAAGTTGGTGGTTCATTCCGCTGTGGCCACACCAAGTTAGTAAAGGGACTAAGCCGAGAAGAAAACGAATGAATGAATAAAAAATGCTGTTAAATGCAAAACATCTCTGCTATAATGTTTCAAATAGCTTAAATGCCTAAATATGAGGTGTAATAATGTTTCTTTGTCAAGTATTTTAATCATTTATTTAGAAGGGTGTGGGAAATTAATACTGCTTCTAATATTAAATATGAATAATAAATTTGTTTTCAATCGTGCAAGTTATTTTATTTTCTCTTTTATTCATAAGAAGAAAAGTGACTGTTTTATTGAATGTTTTGATTTCAGTTGTTCAATGTTGATGTTTAATAAATAACCATCAATGGTAGATAGAGGTAATCATAGATAGTAGATATACAGTTGAAGTCAAAGTTATTCACCCTCCTGTAAATTATAATTTTTTTCCCCCCAAATATTTCCCAATTTATTGCAGCTGGAAGGGCATCCGCTGTGTAAAAAATTGGCTGGATAAGTTGGCGGTTCATTCCGCTGTGGCAACCCCTGATAAATAAAGAGACTAACCCAAAAAAGAAAATGAATGAATGAATGAATGATTTCCCAAATTATGCTTAACAGAGGAAATTTTCACAGTATTTCCTGTAATATTTTTTCTTCTGTAGAAAGTCCTATTTATTTTATTTCGGCTAGAAAAAAAACAGTTTTTTATTTATTAAAACCATTTTAAGGTTAAAGTTATTAGCCCCCTTTAAGCTATATTTTCTGAATGTGTACAGAACAAACCACCGTTATACAAGAACTTGCCTAGTTAAGCCTTTAAGTGTCACTTTAAGCTGTATAGAAGTGTCTTGAAAAATATCTAGTAAAATATTATTTACTGTCATCATGGCAAAGATAAATTAAATCTGTGATTAGAAATGAGCTATTAAAACTATTATGTTTAGAAATGTGTTGGAAAAATATCTTTTTGTTTAACAGATATTGGGGGAAAATATACAGGGATGCTAATATTTCAGGAGGGCTAATTATTCTGACTTCAATTGTATTTACGCCTTAATTTCGCTGCCCTCATCTCTTCAGGGCTGGTGTTCATCATGGGCGCATCCGTATCCAGTCTTGCTCCCACTATTCGGGCAGAGTCTGTGATTTCCGCTCCTCATTTTGCCGGTGCTTCTCCTCCCCCCGGGTGTCCCATGCATCAGGAGCCTCCCAAAAGTGAGTCATGCAGCATCTGTTTACTTGAAATGTGGATTTTAGTAGCAATAATTGATCATGTGTAATGTAAACCCAGGCTCTCCGCCTCCTGAGTGCCCGATGCATCAGGCTCAGACACCACCGGCTGCTCCTGTGCATCAGGAAAGAGCTTACGAGTTTGTCGAATGTCCCATGAGGGCCAAAGAAGGAGCCATTGATCCGACAAATATGGTGAGCTGATGATGAGTTGATGGTTTTGGCTAATGTATTTTTTTTATTGAGTTTTTTCATTTTACAGTTTAAAGCATAACTTAATCCCTCACATAAACATGGCATTGAAAAAATATATAAAGAAAGAAAAAGCCCACACCAATCAAATAAACTTGAGTCAAAACATTCCAGATTTTAGATTTGATAGTGTGAGAATATAGAGCAGGGAAAATAAGTATTGATCATGTCATGTTTTCACTGGGAAAAATATTTCTAAAGGAGTCGTCTACATGAATAAACCAGATTTTGATAAACAATACAAAAATAAAACAAAACAAAACAAAAATAATCTGAAAAATTAGTAATGTGTAATAACAATGAAATGACAAAAGGAGAAAAACTGAACTACTGAAATGTGTTTAATACTTTATATTAAAGGCTTTTTTGGTGATGGCAGCTTAAAGACACCCCTCATATTGACCTTATTCTAAAATGCGGAAGTGCGCCTGTTTTCGCGATTGTTTTAGAACTTCCAATTCAGTCGCCTATGGGAGAAATGACTAGGAATAATAAACAGCTGAAAAAGGTGAAACTGCTTGCTCTACAATTTAGACCAAGTAGAATATTATAATAAGAAAATATCAGTTTACAACATAAAACAGTGAAACGAGCAGTTTTTAATGTCTAAAAATGAATGGAAGTGAATGAGACTGGAAGTCTCGAGCCAAAAAGATTCAAATGGCCACTCGTCGGCTAGGTGAATAGAAATGGGCCGGTATAAGATTCTGACGGTATGATAACCTTGGATAAAAATATTACAGTTTCATGATATCACGGTTTTGTGATTAATGCTTTAAAATATGTTTTTTTTAAATGTCAGGGTAAAAAACAAAAACTTTTTTAAAAGCAATATATTTTATTTTTTGAAAGATTTATTGTATTTTGGAGCAGTAAACATGTCAGGCTAAATAATTCAAATGAATTCTAGACTTCTGCTGTCTTTATTGGTTTCAAAAACACAGATTTTCTTTTTTACAATTTAAGACATGTTTTCTTTAAACATCTTTGGATTTTTTTCTGCTTGAGATACTGTTGTCCTAAAAAAACAAAAAAGTAAATAAAAAAACTCTTTTATATATCTTAGTAAGTATTACAGGAAATTTTAGCGGTTTTAAAACCTTGACTTTTTCAAACCACGGTATTCCTTAAAAATGTTTATCGTTCCATGCCTACTTTCAAATGGAGAATAAAGTCACATGAATTTCTCAGGTGTAAGATTTTCATAGACTTCAGCAGTGTGTAAAATCTTGATCTCGTCT